TCTGATTCAAATGTGAATTTTATTCCCTTTACTAGTGACTTTATATGTGTGAAGAAGCTAGAGATATGTTCTGTTTTTAACACTGTGAAAGTGTCATCCACATATCTCCACCATATTTTTGGAGTAGGATTAAATGTATTAAGAGCAATATTTTCCCAGCTGACCATAAAGATATCTGCTACAATAGGGGATATTGGTGATCCTATTGATACACCATCTGTTTGTTTATATATTTTGCCCTTGAATTTAAAGGCAGTAGATTTGAGGAATAACTGAATTCCTAAAATGATTTTCTCATTGAGTAGCTTCGTCCTATGAGTAAGTTCAGGATCAGAAGTTAGTTCTCCTTCAACCGCTTCTAATACCATATTGATTGGTACATTAGTGTAAAGACTAGTTATATCAAAACCAAACATTTTTTCATTATTCACTAATTGAATGTCATTTAGTTTCCTTTTCATTTCATATGAACTAGTTATCCTAGAATTTGAATGATTTCTAATGGGGCATAGTATTGGAGCTAAGTGTTTTGATAATTCATAAGTAGGGGTATTCCTGTAATCTACTATTGGTCGTATGGGGTAACCTGGCTTATGTATTTTAATAGTACCATACATTCTACTAGCATTATTAGTTTTAGGCATTAAATTAAACCATTTAGATCCACCCAGTGACAGTTTCATACTACGTATTAAATCTACTGTAGATTTCTTAATGTTATTCATTATTGTATCTACAGGCTTCTTAATTTCCTCATATGGACCCGTCTCAATATGTTCAGTGACTTTCTTTATATAATCCGATTTATCCAAAACTACTGTAGAGTTTCCTTTATTGGCTTTTGTGATGACGATGTTTTTATCCTTTTTAAGATTAATTAGAGCTAATCTTTCCGATTTTGTTAAGTTTGACTGTGCCTTCTTTTGTTTCTTAAGAGTTAATGCACATTGAGTTCGAACCTCTTCTGCTGTCGTCTTATCTATTGAACTTAATGCTACTTCTATGTTAGGGATGACATCTTCTGGTTTTAGTTTGCTAACAGTTACATTGAAATTTAATCCTTTTTCAACTAGTTTTATCTCACTAGAGCTTAATTCTCTTGAAGAGAGGTTGATTACCGACTATGTTTTGTCTATAGAAGATGAAATATTGTTGTCAACTACTTCATTTATTGTGCTGTTATTTTCTTCTAATAATTTGTTGAATTTCTTAACTTGCGTGGTTTTTGATTTCTTTAAGGTTGCTTGTCTAGCTTTTTTGGATTTTTCAATCACAATTGATCATATTAAAATGTCTAATCAATCTTTACTCATGTATATAAATGAAGCAAGAAAGTCGTATGAATGCCTTGATATGATTATGAGCAGCGATAATTTGTGGTGGAAACGTCATCAGTGAATATTACTGTTTAACACTATGTGATTTTATCAAAATAAAATTTGATCTATAATGCAGAACAATAGAGACCTAGATTAACAACCAGTCACGATGACGGTCTCCAGAAGATACAATTACTTCACTGACGAAGTTATATATATTTTATATGACGACAGCTTTACAGTCAAATTAACCACCTCAGAGTACACAATTAATTCATTGTTATCAACCTGAGCTACAAATCTTCTCCATTTTGTCACATGACCATTAAAGATTGTTCAAATTGTTATAGTTGGCTCAGTTGTGTATTATAAAATGCTGGTGACTTCAGATGTATGAGTGACTGCTTGTCAATGATAAAATTTCAGATAGGTTTGAAAATAATCTCTGGGTCTATTGAAGTTTCATGCATTTATTCCCCTTGATGAATTTGAATAAAGCAAGAACAACAGTGGTTTGTGCAGAATAATATGGTACCATCATTTATTTCGTTGGCTTCTCATCAGCTGCTTACAGCCTAAATAAATTATGAGGTTTGCGTACAGAAAAGTTTTAACATACTTGCAAATTTTACATGTTGTCAGTTGACAAAAAGTTCCACAGTAAGTGAACAGTGCTCAGAAAATTGCGCTTATATAGTTTTTACACAGGCAGTTCAAGTTTAAACAAAATAGATGTATGCATACAATGGTAAAAGAGTTACGTAATGAAGACGAATTATGCGTTAGATACAGAGTGACAAATAAATTAGGTAACAATGTACTGAGTTCAACTCAAATCATAGAAACAAGAGACAAGCAAAATTACAGATTATAAAAGGGGGTGAGGTTAAAGACAAAGATTACGTAATCAGATGAGAGAATAAAGACATTCAGTTACCAGGGCAAGGAAAGATTAATAACTGCTTCTTTCTGAACACATAAATCTGGTTTCAAGCGTTTGATAGAGAATGCTTCGGCAAACTTGAGGAGAATGGAACTCCTTTGTCTATTGATAATTTTAAAGGATTTCTCGATTTCTACCTCATGACCCGTGTCGAGAAGATGTCTAGTAATAGCGCTGCTATAAGAGTTTGTTCCCTTGAGACGTAGGCTTTTTGGCACATGTTCAGAAAATCGAAGGTGTGTCCTTCTTTCTGTTCTCCCAATGTAACTGCTCCCGCAGATACACGTAAATTTGTATACACAGTTGGGGTTAACATGAGAAGGATATCTATCGATTTTGATTGCAGTTGTTCGATAGACGGGAACCAACTTAGCTGCAGGATAGGCTCTGGCTACTGACGTTCTCAGTCTTCTGTTGACCATTTCTGCAATGTTTTCACCTTTAAAATCTAGTTGAATGAAGACAGGTTTTTTCAACTGTGATTTGTTTGGTATTTAGCCTTCATCTTCCATATTTGTTTCTATGATTTGAGTTGAACTCAGTACATTGTTACCTAATTTATTTGTCACTCTGTATCTAACGCATAATTCTCTTCATTACTAACTCTTTTACCATTGTATGCATACATTATTTTGTTTAAACTTGAACTGCCTGTGTAAAAACTAATAAGCGCAATTTTCTGAGCACTGTTCACTTACTGTGGAACTTTTTAACTGACAAATGTAAAGCAAGTATGTAAACTTTTCTGTACGCAAACCTCATAATTATTTAGGCTGTAAGCAGCTATGAGAACCAGAAATAAATGATGGTACCATATTATTCTGCACAAACCACTGTTGTTCTTGCTTTATATTGGAGTTACAGTGCGTTTAATAAAACACACTTAGAGAAAAGAGTGATTTCTCAACAAGAGATTTCATATAAACAGAAACAGGCTTTAATGTACTTAATGAAAGTGCAAGCATCGATTGTACAACAGTTAATTTAACTATTAAAGAAAGAATTAATAATCTACTTTTGGCATTTAACTGTAAGACCGGCTGTTAAATCTATTGCACTGTTTTATTATGACTGATATTGATGTTAAACGAATACTTTTTTTTACACAAAAAATATGGTGTTTACGATTACGAGTTATAGACATAGAATAAGCTTTACATTTTGTCATCATGATCGGTGTATAATTGAGTGAGTTTATCATACTATAACTCACAAAATCATATGATATGAAAATATGTAAAGCGGAAAGTCATTTAATAAGCAAATAAGAAAGGCGAATATGATTTTAATGGCAACAGACAAGTGAATAGCAATTCGATATTTATCACCTAAAGAGAAGATGCATTTATCTGAAATTCGTTTCGTGTTGTCTTAATTTTGTTTATCAAATAAATTATCAAGTGTTAGTTTGCAGGGAGTTGATTGGTTCCAGGATTTCATCATGAATTGACATCGATAAGAGGACCATTGGAAAACCTGGGAGTACTAGAGAGCCGTTTCGTCAGCCTAGTTTGGGACTCTTCATCAGTACGCACCCACTGAAACTAATCAGATCCCTGCAAACCAACACTTGAATATCAATCTGATGTCCACTAGTGACTGGCCGTGTTCGGGTAGATAGGGATGGATTGGGAAGTCGTGACCAGTGGTGTACAGCAGGTCGAGTGTGAGGAAAAAGACTCACCAAATGACATTCGCTAGTGCCAGTTGCGCTATATCGTGAATTAGCAGAAGTTGGAATTCATGGACTGGCCATTGGATGGGGTCCCAGTGGCTCGATAGTCTACGAGCTCACCTTGCAACCGGGAGGTCGTGGCTTCGAACCCTGGCGGTGGGTGTGTACTGCTGGAGAGTCCGGAACTAGGCTGACGAAACATCTCTTCAGTACTCCCAGGTTTTCCAGTGGTACTCTAACCGATGATGAAATCCTGAAATAAATTAGTAGTCAACCGATGACTGAAACAGTTACTGGTCTGTCATTTCATGAAATGTTATCATTTTCAAGCCTCTATAATTATTTTGTGCCAGCTAGCACCACATTTGTAGCACATCGTTCTAATGCACTTGAAGGGTCTGTATAACTAATAATAAGCGTTAAATTTTACTCAAGCAATGGACAGCTTTAAGTGTAAATTCCAATGAAGCTTCAACACTTCATAAGTGACATCAAAGACTTCTACCAAGAAATGTGTAATTTTCTTAAATCTTCTGATCTTAGCCGACATGTTTTATGAGTCTTAACCGTTTAAGCTGAACACTTCTCATCTACCACCTCTAATAAATGACATAAAGTTGTGCAGTATTTCATTGATCTACCAAATGAGTGGATTTTGTGCAAGCCAAAATAAAGCTGACTAAAAATGATCCTAGGAACGTAATTTAACTGATACCTTTGCATACTTCTTGAGAACTGAAAGAGATTTGATTGTCAAACATGTCTTATAAGCTGTTTTAGCAATCTATTTCATAAAACATTATATGAACAGATACAAATCTATCAGGTGACAGATGAATATAGTGAAGCACAAAACAAGAAGCCAAACTCTTCACTTCAGCCAAAAACTATATGTGATTACACCTATTTTATTTGGATTAAAGATTTTACCCTTATTCAACATGGTTTTAGGGAATATTTTTCAGTTTTTCACTGTATTAAAAAACAAACTTTCTGAATATATAGCCGAAATGTAAGCTGTGATGAATGAATACTTTATAGGTGTTTCTCTTTTGAATTTTAGAGTGCAAATACTTATAATCTACATCAAATAAATTATGAAGTTTTTGGTCCACAACTCGTTGCTGTTGTTGGTACAGTCGGCAGTGGCAAAGTGAGTTTTACAATTAGCGTACTTAACAAGTGGGTAAAATTATGTTCAGGTGTGTGTTGAAGGTTCTATTACTTTATTTAAGAATTCCTCTATATTATATCACATAAATTGTTTGGGCGATTACGGTTTCCGATGTGAATCATAAAACAGTCCTTAGAACTGGTCCCTATATAGTTTTGTTTGCCTAAGGTTATTTCTTAATTGTATCATAAATATCATCAATATTTGGGATTTAAAACTTTCTGAGGAATCACATAACTACAATTACTTAGCCAACAGAAAATATTTTATATTTTATACTTAGGTTTAATTTTTTGTACGCTGCAGAACCTTGGAACTGGATAGTCCTGTCACAGAAAATATTCTCCCCAAAGTAGAGCTTGGTTTAAGTGACCTAACTTCATATATTTATTCCCCTTTATAAATTCGAATAAAGCAAGTACAACAGTTTTCGCGGAATAGAATGGTACCGTTATTTATTTCGCTGACTTCTCATCAGCTGCTTACAGCCTAAAGTCATTATTAAGTTCATGTTCAGAAACAATTTCGACATACTTACACAGAGAGTTCATTTTTAAACAAAAAATCAATATGTGCATACAATGGTAATAATGATAATACTCCTTTATCCCAAACAATAACAATCATACACAATGGACTTTTCCGGCGTAACGTAATCAAATGAAAGGGAGGATGAAAATACCCAGTAACCAGGGCAAGGGAAGACTGATAACCACTTCTATCTGAACGCACAAATCAGTTTTCAGGCACTTGATAGAGATTGCTCCAGCAAACTTGAGGAGAATTGAACTCTTTTGCCTATTGATAACTTTTAAACGACTTTGTGAAGTCTACCTCATGACCTGTGTTACGGAAATGCCTAGCAATGGCATTGTTGAAAGCATTTGTTCCCTTTAGACGTAGGCTTTTTGGTACATGTTCAGAAAATCGGAGTTATGCCCTTCTTTCTGTTCTCCCAATGTAACTGCTTCCGCAGATACATGTAAATTTGTATACACAGTTGGAGTTAACATGAGAAGGGTATCTATCGACTTTTAACTGCATCAAAGAGCATGTTGTCCGATAGAAGGCAACTAACTTAGCTTCAGGATAGGCTGTGGCTAGTGATATACTCAATCTTCTGTTGACTATTGGTGCAATATTTTCAACTTTATGATAAAATATAGGTTCAGTTATTTAACTCTTTAAAAGAAACCTAAAACATAAGTTATGGTGAAACCTTGGGTGAGAGAAAGACGTAGCTAGACTGCAGTTTTCCAGTCACAATATCTTTGTCAGAAAGACTAATATTGTGTTTAAAGTCTGTTAAGTGCCCTTATTATCGCTGTAGGAGTCAACCACCAACTGGATGTTGGCTAGTAAAGTGGCTCTAATGATTAACGTTGGCAGCTGAGTCAGTCTGCATGGCATGTTCTAGGTATCTGAGGCGTCGCATGCCGAAGTTTCAATGATGATGACGATGTCATCCAACTTTGTCCACATAAACACCAAATTCTAGACAGAACTAGTTTTCAATGTCAAGAGAAAGACTTCCACTTGATGGCCTGCACGAGATTGATGATAAACACGTGTATATTACTTGGTTATACATTGTAGATGTAGAGGGTCGATGGATGACTGTCAATCCTTCTGGAACGTTTGTGTCTGCTTACTCACTGCATTAGTCTTGCTTTTGTGTCCACGAGTGAATGGATACAGAAAACATACAGCTCCACAGCCCCTCCACTTTTTGCTTTTCAATGAGGATATGAGTATTTGTGAAGCAATCAGTTAAACGTTGATCTAAGCATAGCAATGATATTCATTTTGAAGATACTTATCCCAGTCTGTTTTAAAAACGATAATGATGGCATTTGATAGCCCACAACCAACGGTTGTTCAAAGGAGGAGAGTTCCTGTCGTGCTATCCCAACTGAATAGGCATATTTCAGGAAACTGAAAATGACGTAGGTTAAGTAAAATTCTTCAAGGTTGCCAAGAATAATGATCAGTTTCGAAAGAGTAGGAAACAAAATGGGCATCAGTACTTGATAACAACTGCCAACTACTTAGCCATATTACGGAAATGCATCTTAGGAAAGCTTTGATAGGTGGAATAATAATTCTAGAATGATGAAACTCCACAAAAAAGACATTTGGAACATTGAGCAGACCAATTTGATGGATAATTCAAGTGGCCTACTGCTTTCCACCAACTTAGCTGAATTAGGACTGAGAAAAAACTGTGAAAATCCTACACGTTTCAAGCTCGAATGAGAAAGTAATGATCAGATGCTGATCATGCAGCAGGTTCTGCATCCCTATAGTTCTGTTGGCTTCCTAAAGCTGTCACATTTTTGACGTGAAAGTATTATTTGGTTGAGAGGTAACGTGACAATGTTTGAATGTAAAGGGGGCACCAAGAAAGCATGTCGTGCTGATCAAGTTGAGAATTGTCATCTGAAGTTAACACAACCAGTGGTATCAACCATGGATATTCGACTTCAGTATATTCATGTGATTTCACTATAGATGAGCCTATAATCAGATTTTATTTTTCAGTGATTCACTTGTTTTTAGGGAAGAGTCTTCATGACCTAGAGTACTCAGATGATAGAGTCCTTTCAGCAAAAGACTGACGAAAAGCTGTGTCTTTTCAATACTTTGAGAAAAAATCTGCGCATGTTTGACATGAAGCTCCCTTCCATTAAGTATAAGATTCCATCCTGAATCTGGTTTCCACCGACTCTTAATTGAGAGTCAAAAAGCAATCTCATCGATGACGCTGGTCACTTCAACTCTTTGATAAGCTACATTAGCACCAACGAAATCTCAGAATGAGCCAAGAGACGTCATATTTGGGGTCAATGTAATACTTTATTTGCTATAAAGGTTGGAATGTATCTTGCGAAGGTTGACCATGTTCCAGTCTACGTCTGTAATACATGCTTTTTGGAAGTGAAAGTTATGAAGAGATCATAAGTACTGATCACAGGTTCAAATGTATTTTACATTAGATGAAGCGAAATAGAAATTAATATCAAGACCAGACGAAGAATATCAGGTAAGGAATGTACGTCAGTCAGTGAGTTGTGAACATTCTTTAAATGAGGTGACTAGGACACATGTTACACATTCCAACCATTGTAATAATAGAGG